TTAAGTCAACCTCATTTATATTTGCTAATACACAGGGCCTTAAGCCATCCACAAACAACAAAATACCTTTCATTAGTGGACTTCTAGAGGAGTCAAATGCACTATTTGCAGCCTTCACAGAGACCCACGCAAAACATTACCTTGACAGTGAAATATGGATACCTGGCTACAATCTTTTCAGATGCGACAGAAAGAACAGGCAACAACCTTATACCTTTGAAACCTTTGAAGAATTTCGAGAGTATATCTACTCTCTGAGCCCGGCCATGGGCCAGGCTCGTCTGGTGCCCGCCTGGTCAACCAGGCTGTTGCTGCTGGAGGCCCGCTGCCCCACATATTCATCACAGCCTGGTTGATCTGGCACCTGGTGAAAATACTTGTCTAGTTTCCTCTTGAAGGCTTCAACACTTGTTCCAGCAGTGTTTCTGATATCTTCTGGTAAGATGTTGAAAAGTCTGGGACCCCGGATGTTGATACAGTGTTTCCTTATTGTCCCCACCGCACCTCTGTTCCTCACTGGGTTTATTTTACACTTCCTCCCATATCTCTCACTCCAGTATGTTGTTATGGCAGTGTGCAGATTTGGGACCAAGCCCTCGAGTACCTTCCAGGCATATATTATCATGTACCTCTCTCTCCTCCGCTCCAATGAGTACATGTTCAAAACTTGCAGGCGTTCCCAGTAGTTTAGGTGCTTTACTGGCTCAATGTGAGCCGTAAACGATCTCTGTATTTGTTCCAGTTCCGATATTTCTCCTGCCCTGAACGGGGCCGTCAGCACTGAGCAATATTCTAAGTGAGGGAGCACTAGCGATTTGAAGAGTGTCACCATCGGCATTGTTTCCCTTGTTTTGAAAGTTCTCAATACCCACCCAGTCATCTTTCTGGCTGTCGTGATCTTTGTCTTGTTATGGTCTTTAAAAGAAAGGTCGGCTGACATAATTATTCCAAGGTCTTTTACGTGTTCCTTACGTTCTATTTGGTGACCCTCTTGAGTTTTGTATATAGTGCTCCTTTTGAGTTCTTCATTCTTTCCATACCTAAGCAGCTGGAACTTATCACCATTGAACGTCATGTTGTTTTCCACTGCCCACTGGAAAACCCTGTTTATGTCTTCCTGTACTTTTTCAGTGTCTTCTACAGTACTGGCTTTCATGCTTATTTTAGTGTCATCTGCAAATGATGATACAAAAGTGTGCCGGGTGTTTTTGTCTATGTCTGCTATGAGGATGAGGAACAGCAGAGGTACCAGGGCAGTGCCTTGGGGCATTGAGCTTTTGACCTCGCTGATGCTTGATCTTGCCCTGTTCACTACTACTTTTTGTGTTCTGTGTGTAAGGAACCCGAAAATTCATCTGCCTACCTTCCCCGTAATGCCCATGGCCTTCATTTTGTGCGCTATCACTCCATGATCGCATTTGTCAAACGCCTTTGCAAAATCTGCGTAAATCACATCTGCGTTTTGGTCGTCTTCCAATGCCTCCGTAATTCTGTCATAATGGTTCAGCAGCTGTGACAGACATGATCGTCCTGCTCTAAAACCATTGCTGGTTCGGGTTATGTTGGTTGTTCTGGTCCATGAAATTTGTAACCTGTCGTCTCATCACTCTTTCGAAGTTTTTTATGATATGAGAGGTTAGGGCTACTGGTCTGTAATTTTTAGCTAGTGCTTTACTACCTCCCTTGTGCAAAGGAACTATGTCTGCACTCTTTAAGGCCTCCGGTATTTCACCTAGATCTCAGTATTCTCCAGAGAATACTGAGGGCTCGTGCTAGTGGTACGTTGCACTTCTTTATAAATAGAGCATTCCATGAATCTGGTCCAGGTGCTGAGTGAGCATGTTTTCCATTTCTTTTTCGAAATCTATGGGATTTGTATTGTCAGTTAGTTGGTCTGTGCGGCCTTCTTCTGGAGTGAAAAATATTTCTGCATTTTCTACAAGAGCGGTTGGCCTGTATGTCGAAGAATCTCTCATTTGCACAGAGATAATGAACACCACAAATGATGTAGTTGAAGGTCTGACAATAAAAATCGGGAACCAAAACTTAGTCACTGTACTTGTATATAAGCCACTGGATGCAACTTCCCAACAGTTCAAAGAACAACTATCAAAAATTGACTCCCGTCTGGATAACTTTCCAACCCCATCCCCAAACATCTTGCTGCTCGGTGACTTCAATCTAAGACACACAAAATGGAAGAATATAGCAAATAATGATGCAGCAGAAATAATCCCTGGAGGCAGCTCAGATGAAAAGTCACACACACACAGGAGCTGCTGAATTTCTGCAACAAACACACCCTAAGTCAGCAGATAGTGGAGCTAACAAGACTGGAGAACACACTGGACCTTATTTTCACAAACAATGAGGACCTGGTAAGGAATATAACAATATCAAAAACAACAAATTCTGATCACAATCTAATCGAAGTCCAGACTTACATGCACAGGAGTCCTGATCGGCACAATGGATTCAGTTATGAGGGTACCTTTACCAAATTCAACTTCAACAACAAGAACATCATCTGGGATCAGGTAAATTATGCCCTAAATGAAACATGCTGGGAGGATATCTTAAATTACATGGACCTTAACCAATGCCTCGAAAAGATCACCCTCCTGGTAGCTGAAGTATGTTCAAGGTATATTCCTATAAGACAAAAGAAAAGAAGTAAACTGGAGAGAGACGCTCCCTCTACAGGAGAAGACGAAGAATCATCGAGTTCCTCAAGAATGCCAGATTATCTGATACACGGAAGGAAGTGCTAACCAGGGAAGTGGAAAATACTGAGCTAAAGTTAAAGGACTCATACGGGATCCAGGGGAGACAAGAGGAGCTAAAAGCGATTAATGAAATTGAAAGAAATTCGAAATATTTCTTTTCATATGACAAAAACAAGTCAAAAACCACTTCTAGTATAGGGCCCCTGCTCAGACAAGATGGATCCTACACTGACGACAACAAAGAAATGAGTCAGATAGAGATACTGAAATCGCAATATGACTCAGTGTTCAGCGAGCCACTAACCAGTTTAAAGATAGACAATCCAAACAATTTTTTCATGAATAAGCCTCAAAACCCTGCCAATGTAGGCCAGATTTATGACATAACCCTAACTCCACTAGACTTTGAGAAAGCCATCGACGACATGCCCATGCACTCAGCCCCAGCCCAGACTCTTGTTACTCCTGGGACTCACGGGCCCTAAGTATGCTATGGAGAAGGAGCTTAGACACAGGCGAGATTCCACAGTCACTAAAAACAACAGATATAGCCCCACTCCATAAAGGTGGCAGCAAAGCAGTAGCTAAGAACTATAGACAAATAGCTTTAACGTCCCACATCATAAAAATCTTTGAAAGAGTTCTAAGAAGCAGGATAGCAACCCACATGAACTCCCAAAAATTGCACAACCCAGGGCAACATGGTTTCAGAGCAGGTCGCTCCTGCCTTTCGCAACTGCTAGACCACTATGATATGGTCCTAGATGCAGTGGAAAATAAACAGAATTCAGATGTAGCAAAAGCCTTTGACAAGTGTGATCATGGTGTAATAGCACACAAAATGCACTTTCTAACCAATCGTACAGAACGAGTAGTGGTAAACAGAGTTAAATCAGATGCTGCCATAGTGAAGAACTCTGTCCCACAAGGCACAGTACTCGCACCTATCCTGTTCCTTATTCTCGTATCAGACATAGACAGAAATGTAAACCACAGCACTGTATCGTCTTTTGCAGACGATACTAGGATCTGCATGAGTGTGTCATCATGAGGACACGGCAAAGTTCCAAGAAGATATAAACCAAGTTTTCAAATGGGCAACAGAAAACAATATGATGTTCAATGAAGACAAATTCCAACTACTCCGTTATGGAAAACTGGAGGAAATAATAACTAGGACTAAGTATACTACAAACTCCAATCACACAATAGAGCGGAAAAGTAATGTGAAGGACCTGGGTGTGGTAATGTCCGAAGACCTCACCTTCAAGGATCACAACACTGCCACTATCACATCTGCGAGGAAACTGATAGGATGGATAATGAGAACATACAAGACAAGAGATGCTAAGCCAATGATGATCCTTTTTAAATCACTTATTCTCTCTAGGCTGGAATACTGCTGTACATTAACATCCCCATTCAAGGCAGGTGAAATTGCAGAACTAGAGAATGTAAAGAGAACCTTTACTGCACGTATAAGTTCCATCAAACACCTTAACCACTGGGAGCGCCGGGAAGCACTTGACTTGTACTCGCTAGAGCGCAGGCGAGAGAGATATATCATAATCTACACCTGGAAGATTCTGGAGGGACTGGTCCCTAATATGCACACAGCAATCACTCCATACGAAAGCAAAAGACTTGGCAGGCAATGTAACATTCCCCCAGTGAAAAGTAGGGGCGCCACTGGTACACTAAGAGAAAACGCAATAAGTGTCCGGGGCCCAAGACTGTTCAACAGCCTCCCACCAGCAATAAGGGGCATTACGGGAATACCCCTGGTTGTCTTCAAGAGGGAGCTGGACAGATACCTAAAGACGGTGCCGGATCAGCCGGGCTGTGGTTCATACGTTGGATTGCGTGCGGCCAGCAGTAACAGCCTGGTTGATCAGGCCCTGATCCACCGGGAGGCCTGATCGTTGACCGGACCGCGGGGGCGCTGATCCCCGGAATGCCCTCCAGGTAGACCACCATCAACCAAGGCTGAGGGACTGACCACCACCAACCAAGGCAGAGGAACCGGTCACTTCAAAAACTAATATTACTGCTTCTAGTGTTATATCTGCCAAAACTCGACTGAAAAAGGCCTGTTGCGTAGGAGAAACGTTTCAGCAATAAAGATAGCCAAGTGTCGCATCATTTATCAACTTGTCGGTACTGTATACCAATAATATGACTGGTGTTATATAAACACGAAAAGACATACACTTCACGGTACAGGTTTCCCGTCACTGCCTTTATGAGAGATGTGTTACATAGTGTGTCACTTACCTGAACCGCTGTCTTCCGAGTGCTGTAGGTCCTGCGGTGATCGCCTCTTCCTGTCGGGTGGTGCTGTCCTCTTCCTGGCTGTCTGCTGCTGTTTGCCGGGTGCTCGTCTGCGCCTGCTAGTGGGCGAGCCTTCCTTCCTCGTCTCCGAGGGCTTCTCCTGCAGATGTTGCTCCCCACAAGTGATACTAGGCTCCTTGTCCTGCTTGACTAAGTTCTCCTTAGCCTGCCTCGACAAATGCTCCTTCGCCTGCCTCGATATTTGCTCTTTTATTTGCTGCGGCAGCTGGTCTTTAACTCTCTGCGGCAACTGGTCTTGGATCTGCCTGGACAGCTGGACCTTGAGCTGTCTAGAGAGCTGGACCTTGAACTTCCGAGGGAGCTGGGCTCTATAATCCGACTCTGGGTTCTTCTTCGTCAAATGGGTCGGTTCTTGAGTCTTCAGCGGCGGTTTTTTATCCTCGTCTCGAGTGCGCCGTTCATTGAAGACCGGCGGCTCCTGTGTCTGCCGTTCTTTTAAGACCTGGGAGGTACCTTGCTTGGTGTCTGCTTCTACATGCTGTTTTATTCGTTCTTTTGTTTGTTGTGCTCTTTCCTCGGCCTCTCTGCTCTCTTCCTTCTGCTTCTGCTGCTCCTGTTTATCGTCCTGCCTTGGTTCCTGTTTTACTTGTTCTTCAGGTTGCTGCCTGACTTCCTGCCTTGGTTCCTGTTTTCCCTCCTGTTTTCTTTCCAGTCTTAGTTCCTTTTTGCCTTCTTCTTTTAGTTTTGGTTTGACTTCCTGTATTAGTTCCTGTTTGATTTCCTGTCTTGGCTCCCGTTTAACTTCCTGTTTTGGCTCCCGTTTGACTTCCTGTCTTGGCTCCTGTTTAGCTTCCTGTCTGGGTTCCTGTTTAGCTTCCTGTCTTGGCTCCTGTTTAGCTTCCTGTCTTGGCTCCTGTTTGACTTCCTGTTTCAATTCTTGTTTTGAACTGTTTTCTAAAGACTGCGGCAACTGTTTGTGTTTCTTTATTTGCAGCTGTTTGTTTATTTGTTGTTGCTGTTGTTGCTCCTCTTTGGGTTGAGGCTGTGCCTTTTTTATTTGTTCTTGCTGTTGCTGCTTCTTTATTAGCTGTTCATCTATGTTTTGCTGTATTTGTTGCTGCTGTTCCTCTTTTTGTTGCTGTTCTTGCTTCGGGACTTTTTGCTGTTGTTCCTCCTTTTGCTGCCTCTTCGCTTGTTGCTGTTGTTCTTCTTTCTGTAGCTGTTCTTGTTTTCTTACTAGTTGCTGTTGCTCCTCTTTCTGTTGCTGTTCTTTTCTTACTAGTTGCTGTTGCTCCTCTTTCTGTTGCTGTTCTTGCTTTTCTATTTGTTGCTGCTGTTTCTGTGTTGCTTGTAGTTGCTGCTTCTGTAAATGCTGTTGATGGTTTTGTTTTTGCTGCAATTGCTTTAGTTGTTGTTGCTGTTCTTTTTGCTGTAATTGTAGCTTTGTTTGTTGCTGCTGTTCTGTTTGTCGTAATTTTATTTGCTGTTCTTTTTGTTGCTGTTCCTTTCCTTGCTGTTCTCGGGTCTCTTTAATTTGTCGAAAGTGCTGCCTTTTTATTTGTTGTTGTTGTTGTTGTTGTTGATGTTGTTGTTGTTGTTGTTGTTGATCTTCTAACAGTTCTCTCTCTTGTTTAAGTTCAATCTGGATTCTTACTTCCCTTAATGGTTGTTCCTTGCTTTGTTTTTCGTCTTGATCTGATTGTTTTCGTTCTATTTCTTGCCGTTCTTTTAACTGTTCTCTTTCTTGTTCTTTTGACTGTTCTCTCTCCTGATCTTTTAACTGTTCTCTTTCTTGCTGTTCCTTTGAATATTTTATTTCTTGCTCTTTTGACTGTTTTCTCTCTTGCTCTTTTGGCTGTTCTCTTTCTTGCTCTTTCTTACACTGTTCACTCTCTTGTTTTAGCTGTTGCTCCGTTGGCACTTGTCTTTCTTGATTTACTTGTTGTTCCTTTGATTCTTCTCTGTTTTGCTTTCGTTGTACCTCTGCCTCTTCTGTTTCCTGTTTTAGCTGCTGTTCCTTTAATTCTTCTCTTCCTTGCTTTGGTTCCTTTAATTCTTCTCTTCCTTGCTTTGGTTCCTTTAATTCTTCTCTTCCTTGCTTTGGTTCCTTTAATTCTTCTCTTCCTTCCTTTGGTTCCTTTAATTCTTCTCTTCCTTGCTTTAGTTCCTTTGATTCTTCTCTTCCTTGCTTTACTTGTTTCTCTTCTTCTTCTCTTTGATTTAGTTCCTTTGATTCTTCTCTTCCTTGTTTTAGTTCCTTCGAGTCTTCTCTTCCTTGCTTTGGTTCCTTTGATTCTTCTTTACCTTGCTTTGGTTCCTTTGATTCTTCTCTACCTTGCTTTAGCTGATATCTAACTTGTTCTCTCTCCTCCTTTGGTGGTTCTTCCTTTCTCTTATTTTCTTCTTGCGGCTGATGGTTCTTTATCTGTTCTTCACCGTGTTTTTCCTCTTCTGCTTCTTTGTTTACTTGTTGTTGATTTCTCACTTGGTTTAATTGTACTTGTTTCTCCTCTGCTGGGTCTTTAGAGTAAAGCTGTTGATGCTGCTGTTTCACAGGGTGGTGCTGCACTCTGACTTGGCGAAGCTGTTCCTCTGGATGTTCTTTTAACCGCTGCAGCAGCTGTTCTTGCTGCTGGTCCTGATGGGTGTCCTGATTATCTTCAGCCTCCTGTGGGCGTGAGGGGGACCTTCCACCCTCGCTGTCCAATTGGGCGGTTGTGGTGGGTGGCGGGGAGTGGGTGGTGGGTGGCGAGGAGCTGGTGGTGACTATTGGGTGGGGGGTGGCGGGTGAGAGATGGGTGGTGGTGGGCGGGAGGGTATGGGCAGTGATATGGGTGGCGTGGGCTGCAGGTGCTGGTGGAAGGGTATGGCCGGCGCTGTGATGAAGGTTGTTAGGGCGGCTGAGAGCAGTCTTACGAGATTTTACTGGCTGGACACCATCACGGCGAATATGACGAACCTGTAGAGATAAGAGAGACGACATTAATACCACGACATCATCAATACCATCACCACAACAACATCAATACCATCACCACAACATCAATAACATCACAACCTCACTACAACATCAATACCATCACATCACAATATCAATACCATCACCACATTGGAAATATAAACACATATGCAGTTTAATATGATCCTTTATTGACAACGTTTCGCCCACATAGTGGGCTTTTTCAAGTCACAAACAGATCTACCTGGGGTGGAAGGTACGTGAGTATTTATAGTCACGTACCTTCCACTCCAGGTAGATCTGTTTGTGACTTGAAAAAGCCCACTGTGTGGGCGAAACGTTGTCAATAAAGGATCACATTAAACTGCATATGTGTTTATATTTCCACTGTGTCGGTATTTATACCATTTATTTCCACCATCACCACATCACGACATCAATAACATCATAACATCATCAATACCATCACAAACCCACAACATCCATACCATCACTACAACATCAATACCATCATCACAGCATCAATACCATCACCACAGCATCAATGCTATCACCACAACATCAATACCATCACAACATCAATACCATCACCATTACATCAATACCATCACAACAACAACAATACCATCACCACAGCATCAATACCATCACCACAGCATCAATTATATTACAACCTCACCACAACATCAATACCACCACAACAACATCAATACCATCACCACAGCATCGATGCTATCACCACAACATCAATACCATCACATCAATAATATCACAGCCTTACCACAACATCAATACCATCACAACAACATTAATACAGTAATGTTAGTAGAATTACCGACAATATGTTAGGTAAAAGGACACAAGTGCAACTAAACCAGAGATCCTTCAGGACCTGTGGTTTAACGTGATTACAAGTGCTTCAGAAAAGGTCAAATCAGACCACAAATGCTTCAGGAATGGTTACTAGAGGTTTCTAGTCCAGGAAAAGTCACATAAGACCACAGGTGCTTCCGGAAAGATCAAACAAGAACACAGGTGCTTCCGGAAAGGTCAAACAAGATTGCAGGTATTTCAAGGAAGGTCAAACTACAAAACAGCTACAGTACTAAAACTCGACAACAGAGAGCGTACAACTTATCAACAGAAATTCCAGGGAAAGGTTAGTGACAACAGAATCAACAGGGGAGACACACCAACAAGAGCAGCAGACTGCAGCATTTTACAAAGGCTGAGGAGACTGCAATATTTACAATGACCTCAGCGAGTATAGAAAACAGTCTCACGTCACTATTAAAGGTGACATTGACGGAATATTAAAAGTATTGGTTAAAAATGAGAGAGAGAGAGAGAGAGAGAGGAGAGAGAGAGAGAGAGAGAGAGATGGATTTCCCAGGAATTGTTGCCAAAGTCATGAACACCCATGACCCAAGACTGTAAAAGTTGTTTTCCTAATTAAAACTTTACCAACTTTATTCCTTCTTCCATCTTCTTTAACCTCTTTCCTTCCCCCCTCCCCAATATTCCTCCCCAACCTCTTCACCTTCACAGCCTCCAATCTCCTCCCTTCCCTAACTTAAATCTCCTGCAAACTTCAATCTCCTCTTCTCCCCCAACTCCTTCAACCTCCAACAGCTTCGGTCTATAGACCAATAAGCCTTACCTCCATAGAGGGAAAATTTATGCAATCAATAATTGCCGAGGCAATTCGTAGCCATCTTGAAAGGCATAAATTGATTAATGAATCTCAGCACGGTTTTACAAAAGGATGTTCCTGTCTTACGAATTTAGTAACTTTTTTCACTAAGGTATTTGAGGAGGTAGAACATGGTAGTGAATATGATATTGTATTATGGACTTCAGTAAGGCTTTCCATAGAGTTCCACATCAGAGGTTATTGAGGAAACTTAAGGCACACAGAATAGGAGAAATTTTTTCCTGGGTAGATGCACGGTTGACAAATAGACAGCAGAGAGTTCGCATAAATGGGGAGAAATCAGAAGGGGGGCACGTCACAAGCGGTGTTCCTCAGGGGTCAGTATTGGGCCCTTTGTTGTTCACAGTCTATATAAACGACATAGATGAGGGAATAAATAGCGACATAAGCAAATTTGCTGATAACACCAAAATAGGCGTCCAATTCATTCTAATGAGGACATTAGAGCACTCCCGGATGATTTGAATAGACTGATGCAGTGGTCGGAGAAGTGGCAGATGCAGTTTAATACAGACAAATGCAAAGTTCTAAATGTTGGACAGGAAAATAACCATGCCACATATAAGCTAAATAATGTACATCTTAATATTACGGGTTGAGAAAAGGATTTATGAGTACTGGTTAGCAGTAATCTGAAACCAAGACAACAGTGCATAAGTGTTCTCAATAAAGCTAATAGAATCCTTGGCTTCATATCAAGAAGTATAAATAATAGGAGTCCTCAGGTTGTTCTTCAACTCTACATATCCTTGGTTAGACCTCATTTAGATTATGCTGCACAGTTTTGGTCACCGTATTACAGAATGGATATAAATGCACTGGAAAACGTACAAAGGAGGATGACAATGTTGATCCCATGTATCAGAAATCTTCCCTATGAGGAGAGACTGAGGTCCCTGAATCTGCACTCTCTAGAAAGGCGTAGAATTAGGGGGGATATGATTGAGGTGTATAATCGGAAAACAGGAATTAATAAAGGGAATGGAAATAGCGTGCTAAAAATATCTAACATGGACAGGACTCTCGGCAGTGGCTTTAAGTTGGAAAAATTCAGATTCAGGAAGGATATAGGAAAGCACTGATTTGGTAATAGAGTTGTGGATGAGTGGACCAAACTCCCGAGTACCGTCATAGAAGCTAAGAGGTTGTGTGGTTTTAAAAATAGGTTAGATACATACATGAGTGGGTGTGTGTGGGTGTGAGTTGGACCTGACTAGCTTGTGCTACTATGGCAGATGCCGTGCTCCTTCCTTAAGTAAATGCGACCTGACCTTTCTAGGTTAGGGAGTTGTTTTAAGCCGGTAGGAGACTTGGACCTGCCTCGCATGGGCCAGTAGGCCTTCTGCAGTGTTTCTTCTTTCTTATGTTCTTATTTCTCTAACATCCAATCCCCTCCTTCTCCTCTCTAACCACCGATCCTCTCCTCTCTAACCTCCAATCTCCCTGCTTCCAATCTGCAGATATAAATACTCTCAAAAACGCTACCGATTATTATTTTTATTATTAAGTGGAAGCACTAAACCCCTAGAGGTCATACAGCGTCCTGGAGAAATAGGGGGTAATCATGTTCGAATCATGGAAGGGAAGAACAGGAACAATTTATTGGATCAAGAGCACCTCACCCGTATCTCTGACATACCTGTGACCATCTCGAGTATTTTACTCCCTTAGTAGTTCTGATATATCTTTGAAATACTTTTGATATACCTTTGAATGGTTTCAAGGGTTTTTCTACTCCTGACCCAGGGCCAGGCTTGTGTGGTGCTTGCCTGGCAAACAGGCTGTTGCTGCTAGCTCCCTGCTGGCCCACATATCCAACATAGCCTGGTTGATCTGGCACTTGACGGAGGTCTCTGAGGCCAGACTGCCTCAACGAACGCTTGGTCAATCAGGCTGTTGATGCTAGCGGCTTGAACAAAAAAAAAATCTTAATGAAGGGAAATAAAAAAACATTTAGTAAACAACAGCCTGAAGGACAGTAAAAGAGAGAGAGAGAGAGAGAGAGAGAGAGAGAGAGAGAGAGAGAGAGAGAGAGAGAGAGAGAGAGAGAGAGAGAGAGAGAGAGAGAGAGAGAGAGAGAGAGTAATGAAGATAATCAAGTTGATTAAAATTCTGCAGTTACCTTGTGTTGTCAGCAGTACTAGACAACACCTGTGGTACAGTGCCCTGCACCTTCAGACAACACCTGTGGTACAGTGCCCTGCACCTTCAGACAACACCTGTGGTACAGTGCCCTGCACCTTCAGACAACACTGTGGTACAGTGCCCTGTACCTTCAGACAACACCTGTGGTACAGTGCCCTGCACCTTCAGACAACACCTGTGGTACAGTGCCCTGCACCTTCAGACAACACCTGTGGTACAGTGCCCTGCACCTTCAGACAACACCTGTGGTACAGTGCCCTGCACCTTCAGACAACACCTGTGGTACAGTGCCCTGCACCTTCAGACAACACCTGTGGTACAGTGCCCTGCACCTTCAGACAACACCTGTGGTACAGTGCCTGCACCTTCAGACAACACCTGTGGTACAGTGCCCTGCACCTTCAGACAACACCTGTGGTACAGTGCCCTGTACCTTAAGACAACACCTGTGGTACAGTGCCCTGCACCTTCAGACAACACCTGTGGTACAGTGCCCTGCACCTTCAGACAACACCTGTGGTACAGTGCCTGCACCTTCAGACAACACCTGTGGTACAGTGCCCTGCACCTTCAGACAACACCTGTGGTACAGTGCCCTGCACCTTCAGACAACACCTGTGGTACAGTGCCATGCACCTTCAGACAACACCTGTGGTACAGTGCCCTGCACCTTCAGACAACACCTGTGGTACAGTGCCCTGCACCTTCAGACAACACCTGTGGTACAGTGCCCTGTACCTTAGAACAACACCTGTGGTACAGTGCCCTGCACCTTCAGACAACACCTGTGGTACAGTGCCCTGCACCTTCAGACAACACCTGTGGTACAGTGCCTGCACCTTCAGGACAACACCTGTGGTACAGTGCCTGCACCTTCAGACAACACCTGTGGTACAGTGCCCTGCACCTTCAGACAACACCTGTGGTACAGTGCCCTGCACCTTCAGACAACACCTGTGGTACAGTGCCATGCACCTTCAGACAACACCTGTGGTACAGTGCCATGCACCTTCAGACAACACCTGTGGTACAGTGCCCTGCACCTTCAGACAACACCTGTGGTACTGTGCCCTGTACCTTCAGACAACACCTGTGGTACAGTGCCCTGCACCTTCAGACAACACCTGTGGTACAGTGCCCT